GAATTAGCTGGGGATGGTGGCACACGTCTGTAGTCCCAACTACTCAAGAAGCTGAAGTGGGAGGATGGTCTGAGCCTCGGAGGTCAAAGCTGCCATAAGCCATGATGGTGCCACTGCACTCTAGCCAACTTGACAGAATGAGACCCTCTCTCAAAAATAATAAAATAAAGGCCGGGTGCAGTGGCTCACACGTGTAATCCCAGCATTTTGGGAAGCCGAGGCGGGCAGATCACTTGAGGTCAGGAGTTCAAGACCAGTCTGGCCCACATGGTGGAACCCCGTCTCTACTAAAAATAGAAAAATTAGCTGGGGCCGGGCGCGGTGGCTCAAGCCTGTAATCCCAGCACTTTGGGAGGCCGAGATGGGCGGATCACGAGGTCAGGAGATCGAGACCATCCTGGCTAACACGGTGAAACCCCGTCTCTACTAAAAAACACAAAAAACTAGCCAGGCGAGGTGGCGGGCACCTGTAGTCCCAGCTACTCGTGAGGCTGAGGCAGGAGAATGGCGGGAACCCGGGAGGCGGAGCTTGCAGTGAGCTGAGATCTGGCCACTGCACCCCAGCCTGGGCGACAGAGCGAGACTCCGTCTCAAAAAAAAAAAAAAAAGAAAAATTAGCTGGGTGTGGTGGCCCATGCCTATAATCCCAACTACTCAGGAGGCTGAGGCAGGAGAATTGCTTGAACCCAGAAGGCAGAGGTTGCAGTGAGCTGAGATCGTGCTACTGCACTCCAGCCTGGGAGACAGAGCGAGACTCCCTCTCAAAAAATAACAATAATGATAATTATTATTATAAAATAAAATAATTAAGGGGCAGAGAAAGAGCAGATGAAATGCTAGGTCTGCTGAAAAGTATGGGATGAGGTGCTACCCAGCACGACCCCCTCTTTTCTGTGCTTGTCGTGGTTGCACCTGTGCTTCCCTGGCTCTGAGGAGCCTGTCCGCATGCTGGATGTGTTTCCCCTGTGTGCATCTTCGTGTTATAGACCACATTACTCTTGGAGAAAGGGACTCTTTCTGGAAGAAGTAGGCTCCTTGTGTGAGGGACGGGTAGGGGATCGGAAGAGAGGTGGTGGAGAGTGGTGATTACAAGTGTGGGCTCTGAAGTCAAAAAAAGCCTGGAGTTCTTTCCTGATGTTGCCCCTGCTCCTTGTGTAAGTTTGGGGAAGTCACTTAACCTCTTTAAGCCTCAATATTCTCATCTGTGACATGGGAATAATAAAAGTGCATATCCTCAGAGCTTATGTCATGTGGTGATGGGGAAACCTGGAGAGGAGAGCTAGGCACTTCTTGCTGTGGGGCCCTGGGAAAAATCCCCAAACCTCCTGAGCCTCAGGTCTGCTCAGGTGTCGTGTGGGGGGCACATTCCCAGCCCACGTTTCAGAATTGCTGTTAAGGGAGGATGGAATGAGACCTCCGCACACTGCGCAGCACTATGAGGAGGAGGAGCATGTGGTAAGTACTTCCTACATGCTGGCCACTCCAGTGACTGCGGCTGACTGTGGTTAGGGCCAAGGTGAACGGACAGAAGGAAGCTGACCTCCTTCGCCCACTGGGCTCTTTCTGTGTTTCTCTAAGGAAACCCAGTCCTGTAGTAGTGAGCAGCCCTTGAGGCCAGGTGGGTTGCACTTCCCCATGGTCTAACCCTCCCAGGGACACCCTCCCTGCTTCTTTGCCATCATCAGCTGGGCCGTCAGTCACCCTGGGCAGATGTGTGACCACCAAACACAGCAGAGAAACACTCGTTTGACAGCCTCTTCAGTTGGGAGTGAACTCCCTGGCTCTGGGATTGTGGGGCCACCTCCTCTCACAACCTGGGCCGTGTTTTCATTTCTAACCATCCCCACCACACAGAAGAGTTGGAATTTTCTTGTTTCTCACAGAGCCCCAAACATCTCCCGTCAATCCCCTTGTTAGACTGGTAGCTAACTACGTGTCTGTAAGTCAGAGACACCAGGGCTGGTAGTGGGTGCCGCCTGCAGGTTGTCTGCTCAGCCCTTTCCCGAAAGGCCCCTATTGGATGGTTTTCTTGGCTCTCAGCAGTGGCAGTTCTCTCTGACCACCCGTCTTCTGCTCCACTCAGGGTTGTTGCACTGAGGCTGGTGACCAGTTTTTCTCCATCTCCTGGAGACAAGCAGGCGCTGAGGCCACAGCGCACACACTGTGTCTGAGAGGGACCAAAGGGGAAAACCACCTGCCTGGATTGTTCCGGCTGCAGCAAAGCCTCCAACCCTGGAGGTCTTTTCCTAACAGGATAGAGCTTCATCTCTCTGGAATGTCTTAGGGCAGCAAAGTCCCCCCTGCTCTCTCTGCACAGACAAAGTTCGTCTTCCATGAAGGACTGGGCCCCACTTCTGGACGCCATAGAGCTCCAAACTCCTTCTCGAACTCCGCAAAACACAGAGCACTGCTCAGGGCCTTGGCTGCTGTGAATGTGTTTCTTCTTCCAGGTACTCGTTTTGTTTCTTTAACTCCCCTGAGGATGAGGAGCCCGTCCCACTTGATATCCACATCTCACTTACCACAGTGCTGGGCGCTTCCTAAGCATCTGCTGGGGCCTTTCAGTAATTGGGCGGCAGCCTTGAGGGGGAAAGCAGAGCTTGGCAGGATGGGCCACCAGACTGGGAGGTGCTGATGAAGCCGTGAAAGGTCTGGAATTTGGGTGCTGCCTAAGGAAGGCAGGCTCCACAGTGGCCACAGGGTGTTGGGGTTCTGTGCTGGGGGCAGCCAGGACACTGTAGTAGCCTGGGGAGAAAGGACTGGGGCATGAAGGTATTGGGCAAGGGGGACAATTGACTTCCTTCAGAGCTGAGTGAAGAACCATCCCTAGAGCCCTCCAGGTGACCCCAGTCTTTGTATCAGTGAGGGGTTCAGACCAGGCAGGCCTCTACTAATCTCCGGCTGGATGGGAGGGGGTGCAGGCGAAGTGTGAACGCGATGTAGCTTCGGGAGAGATGGGGGCTTGGGTGGGTGGAACCAGAGGATGAGTCCCTGGCCAGAAGGGTAGAGGGAGACAGGGCACCCAAAATGCCACAGAACACGGAGCTCCCTGCAAGCTGGGAAACGTGGCCAGGCCCTGTATGCTTAAGAGAAATCGAGCCCTGGGGTTGACTCATGCTAGGTGCCAGAGTTACTCTGAGACTCTCACCAAATGACATCAGGTGAGAACCTGGGCAGACTCCTGGGGCAAAAGGGAGAGTAAATCATCATCATCATCATGATCATCATCATTACAACCACCACAGCATTACTCTACATTTCAGTGATGTTTCACAGTTTACAAAGGGCTTTCACATGAAGAGGGAGAGGACTGAGGAATTTCAGTTGCTTCCACCCACATATACTCCCAAGGCCTTCCCCTTGACCCTTTGCCTCTCTCCTCCCCATCTCCAGGACTCAGAACTTGTACTGGTATCTGCTGCTGTGTGCAGCCTCGAAGCAGGGTGAGAGGAGAGGCTAAGGATCCGGAAGGGTGCTCCTCCCTGCAACCTCCTCCTCTCCTGTGGTCCTGAGTCCCTCTCCTTCTCAGACATGTGCACCCATACCTGGCTTATCTGGGTTTCTGAGAAGGCAAGGAAAATAGAACTTCCCTTCCTGTGTCTCCGAGAAGGAAGGAGCTCTGGGCTAGGAGGGGGATGGACCAGAGCTCCTGGTACTTTGTTGGCATCACAATAACCCCTGTTTCTTTCCTCCCCTGACCTACCTGCTGAGTCCACCCTGGCTTTCCATCTTGCTTTGTGGGTACGTCTGCCATGTGAGGCAAAAGTCAGTAAACGTCTCCTACATTGACCCAGGTCTCAGCCTCCTTCCTGCCAAATGGCACAGATGGCAGCCTCAATCCCTGCCTGGATAAACACACTCAATATTTCTTTTTTGTTGTTGTTGTTGAGACAAAGTCTCACTCTGTGGCTCAGGCTGGAGTGCAGTGGCGTGATCTTGGCTCACTGCAACCTCCACTCCCAGGATTCTAGAAATTCTCCTACCTCAGCCTCCCAAGCAGCTGCGATTACAGGCACCTGCTACCACACCCGGCTAATTTTTTTGCGTTTGTAACAGAGACGGGGGTTTTGCCATGTTGGCCAGGCTGGTCTCGAACTCTTGACCTCAGGTGATCCACCTGCCTTGGCCTCCCAAAGTGCTGGGATTACAAGCGTGAGCCACCGTGCCCAGCCAACACTCAATATTTCTCTATAAGCATACCATCTTTTCAAACTTCAGAAACTCCAACATCTGCAGCCTGTCTCAGGCTGGTCAGGAAGTAACAGAAAGAGGAAAGGTGCACAGCAGCCCCAAAGGCAAATGCTGTTGGCAAGAAAGCAGGGAGATGCAGTAAAGAGCAAGGATGGCTGGCCACAGGGGAGGGTACTGTCATGGGCCCATGGGACAAAGAGGGCCAATGTAGAATGCTCTGAACTCAGAGTGGGGGAAGAGGATGAGGATGTGGGTATCCTTGATACAACCAGTCGACTCACCTTGAATGTTCAGGCTAGGATACATGAAAGTGTGAATTAAATGGTCCCACCAATTTAAAAAATGGGACACTACAACCCAGATTGATAAAGCCTTGTCCTTTAGAAGTGGCAGGAAGAACAGTGTGGGAGAGCCATGAATATAACAAATGAAGCTACATGTAGTCTATGGAAGGTTTAGTGTCATCTACCGGAATCAGTCGATCATTTCCCAGTGAAAAGTCAGTAGGGAGGCCAGGCACGGTGGCTCACTCCTATAATCTCAGTATTTTGTGAGGTCGAAGCAGGCAGATCGCCTGTGCTCAGGAGTTCGAGACCAACCTGGGCAACATAATAAATTAGCCGGGTGTGGTGGCATGCACCTGTGGTCCCAGCTCCTTGAAAGGCTGAGGTGGAAGGATCGCTTGAGTCGGCGAGGTTGAGGCTGCAGTGAGCTGGGATCGCGCCACTGCTCTCCGGCTTGGGCCACAGAGCGAGGCCCTGTCTCAAAAAAAAAAAAAAAAAAAAAGTCAGTAGGGAGATAGAAAACAACCTGTCTAATCAACTTTATTGGACACAACTAGTGTACAAAAACAACATCAAGGTGGGTGTGGTTATGCTGTGATAACAATCATAAAATCTTGGTGGCTTACAATAAGAAAGGTTATTTTTCATTTGTAATACATGTTCATTATGAGTCGGTCATGGACTGCTCTGTTGATTTCACTCCTGGGCTGATGGCATGACACCGGGACTCCTGGATCTGGAGCACTTATGGTTTCACAGCAGAGGGAAAAAAGATCGACACATGGAATCACTCACTAATTCTTAAAACTTCTGTCTAGAAGTGACGCCTGTCGCTGCTGCTCACGTTTCATTGGCCAAAGCAAGTCATATGGCCAAACCTCAACTCTCCTGGGGCAGGGAAGTATAATGTTTGTCCAATAGTAAGGTCTACCACACAAAGGGTCCTTAAGTCAGTCCTGCTTTAGGCTAAGGGGTCCTAAATTCTTGGAAGATACAGAGACCTCAAAATCCAGTTGGTGAACAATTGTCTTGAGATGGAGTTATAAACAAATATAAGAATAAAATATAATGACTGAGTATGGTGGTTTACGCCTGTAATCCCAACACTTTGGGAAGCTGAGGTGGGAAGACTGCTTGAGTCCAGGAGTTTGAGACCACCCTGGAAAACATAACGAGACCCCGTCTCTACAAAACAATTTCTTAAAAATTAGCTAGGCACGGTGGCACATGCCTATAGTCCCAGCTACTCAGGAGGCTGAGGTGGGAGGATCGTTTGAGCCCAGGAAGTGGAGGCTGCAGTGAACTATGATCGCAGTACTGCACTCTAGCCTGGGTGACAGAAGAAGATCCTGCCTCTCTTAAAAAAACAACAAAACAAAACAAAAAACCCAAAATACAATAGAAGCTTCACAAGGGAAGAATCTTGAGAAGACTAACTGGGATTGCAGGCATGCACTACCACGCCTGAATAATTTTTGTATTTTTAGCAGAGGCAGGGTTTCACCATGTTGGTCAGGCTTGTCTTGAACTCCTGACCTCAGGCAATTCACCCACCTTGGCCTCCTAAAGTGCTGGGATTACAGATGTGAGCCACTGCGCCAGGTCTCAGCCAGGTTTTGAATCTTGCTGTATTGTTGTAAATCCCAGGTACTCCATCCCCTCGGTATCCGCATTTGTCTTGTTTTGGGGCAGTGACAGTGGAGTCCATTCTCCCTGTTTGACCTTCTCCAAGGACCTCCTAGAATATGGTGGGAGAAGGGAAGCACATGTGGCTGGGTGAGGGAGGAAGACTTGCCTCTTCCCTCCATCTTCCCAGTTCAGTTGATCTGAGAAGTACAGAAATCTATTTTCTTAGGGATGTGGCTCAGATATTTTCATTTTATTAAAACTGATGTCTTAGACTCACAGGTTTCCTTCAGGCTGGAATGCCTCTGGTGTAACATGACATTCTGGGGAGTATTAGCCAGACGCCCACTCTTTCTGGGTCAGTACCAGGCTTATGTAATTAAAAGTCCAAAGTGGAGACGAGTCAGACAGTCAGACTCACCCAGCCAATAACCTTCCCCCGCAGCCTTCTATCTGGTCGTCACAGAATTTTTGAGCAGGAAGAGACCTTGCACCTAATGAACTCTCATCCATCTTCTTCCAACTAAAGAGCTGAACATCATGAAGACCAAAATGCAACCCTCCTGTCCTAGATGTCACTAGGACCCTAGTGGGCCCTCTGCGCCTTCAGTGGCTTGCAGACTGTGGCCCACCATCCCTCCCCACCTCCTCCAACAAGATAAACACATCTGTGACCCCATCCCGAGGGAGCCAGGGAGGGAGGGAGGGAAGGACGGAGGAGGGAGCCTCCCCGGCACAGACAATCAGAGACTCGGCCTTGACTTGGGTTGTTAAGATAGCTGCTGCCTCCCTTCTCCAGCTGGCGGGAAGCAGTGACCCGGGGAGCCCGAGCCACCTTCCGGGGGAGGAGAAGCTGGCTAGGGAGGAAAGATAAAGGAGAAGGGGGAGGAGTCTGGCCAGCTCCCACCTCCCGGCTGCTGTTCCAGCCAAGTGGCTGAGCTGGAGAAAGAGAACTGATAACAGATAAGGGGCTTGCTTTCCTGTGGCCTTGTTTACACAAGCTTAGGTTCTTGCCGGCTGGTCCCTGGGGTTGGGGTGGGGGTGGAGGAGCTACGTGGGTGGAGGGCAGTGTGGGTTTCTGGACTGAGGCTTGCTTTCAGCTGGCCAAGGCCTGCTTGGCTTATAGATCTTCCCCGTACCTCCCACCCCATCCCCAGCGCCAGATTTCCTGCAAGAAGCTGGTTGAGTGGAGGCTTGAGCTGAAATGCAAGGCTTTCCACACGTGGAGTTGGGGGGGCCTTTCACCTGAAAACAGTGGACATGGCAGTTCTGTCTCTCACTTGGCCTCTGGGGCTCTGGGCATCTGACAAAGGATTTCTAGTTCCAACAGAGCTTATAGTCATATATTCAAGCGAATTCGAGAATCCCCTGCACTCTATTCCTCAGCCTCCCTGCAACAAATTGGGTCAGACTTGTGCTGTGTCTGAGGCCCTGGAAGCTGCGGAAGAGCAAGCGCCATGTGCCAGGTCCTGTGCTAGGGAATAGGGGTCGGGTCATGAACCAGAGAGACACAGTCCATGCCCTGGTGGACATTAAAAGCAGATAAGTGAGTCTACGAATCATGGCCAAGGCAGCATATGCTCTGGAAATGCGGCAGGGAATCTAATCTCTCAGGTGGTTGGGAAAGACTTTTTGGAGGGATGGCATCTCAATAAAGGATTGGGCTGGGCACGGAGGCTCACGCCCGTAATTCCAGCACTTTGGAAGGCCGAGGCAGGCAGATCACTTGAGGTCAGGAGTTCGAGACCAGCCTGGCCAACATGGTGAAACCCCATCTCTACTAGAAACACAAAAATTAACCGGGCATGGTGGTGGCACGTGCCTGTAATCCCAGCTACCTGGGAGGCTGAGGCAGGAGAATCACTTGAACCTGGGAGGCAGAGGTTGCAGTGAGCTGAGATCGTGCCATTGCACCCCAGCCTGGGCAACGAGAGCAAAACTCCATCCCCTACCCAGCAAAAAGAAAAAAAAAAAAATAGAGGATTGACAGACAAGCAGGATTGAGTAGAGTTGCAAGAGACACATAGAGAAAGAACATCCCACACAGAGAAAACACTGCAGGGAAAAGCATTTTAGAAGCAAAAGAGATGGGGTGTTTGGGGAGAGAAGAAAGTGGCAGTGTTTAGTGGGACCCTGAGGAGGGTGCGGGCAGAGCAGAGGTGGGCAGAGGCTAGATTATGGTTGGGGGTAGAAGTGGAAGGCAGAAAGCGGATTGGAGAGAGGAGAAGAGCGGGCAGACTGGAGGACTCCGGGAGACTTTCCTCTGCAGGAAAGCGGGAGCCATGGTCCTTTCTGAGGTATTCTTAGATGGTGACTCCTGGAGCAGAAGCTTGTCAACCTCACCTGGCTGCCTTCTGTGTCCAAGCCCAGCAAACGCTTGTGGGTTTGGGGCTCCCTCCCGTGGGTGTCCTCTTGGCCTCAGCCCCACCTGTGGCAGGCACATCTGGTTTCCCAGCCCCGCCTTGGTTGGGTGGAGATGACACCAGCCTGGAGGTGTTGTCCTGGGAGGTCAGCATCTCCCAGGTGGGACGGGTGGGATGAGGGTTGAGGCTGAGCTGCAGCTCATCTAGGGAGGGCCTGACTCCCTTGAAGCTGTCTGCAACTGCCCCCCATCCCCATTGTGCCCTCCTAGGTGGCAGTGAGAAGGATTCAGAACTCCTTGCTTAAGGCCAACCCTCCCCCCGGTTCCCACCCCACTTTCAGGTGCACAAGTCACTCCCAAGACCTGCAGCAAATCATCCATTTCCCCTACTCATTCCTTCCTTCACTCCATTCCACTCAATAGTTACCGAGGCCTGTTGACTCTCTGGCACTAGCACACACACCTTCACTGGGTTAGGCGCCGTACCTTGGTCCAGGAAATCCCACAGCTGGGAATATTAAGTTTAATGGGTCAGGGTACAGGCTCTAACACCAGACTCCTGGAGTTCAAAGTCTCTAACTCAGTGACCTGGGGCAAATCTCTCCATATTTTTGCACCTCAGTTTCCTCATCTATAAACCAGTTAACAGTAGTACCTACTGCATAGACTGTTGGCAGATGAAATGACAGCATTCCCATAAAAGGCTTTCGGAGAATATGTGTAGTGGTCATGATGAATATTAGTGGCTTACTGGGTTTATATCTACATCAGCTGTTCACTTTGGGAAAAGGAAATGGTTAGGAAGGAATCTTTTTTTTGAGAAAGGACACAGTACATTAAAGGGTATTACCGAACAGCAACTATTTTTATTTTTAATATTCACTTCCAGTTTACCTTTTTTTTCTTTTTTTGAGACGGAAGGTCTCGCTCTGTCGCCGTAGGCTGGAGGTACAGTGGCATGACTTCTCAAGCTCACTGTAAACTCCACTGCCTGGGTTCACGCCAGTTCCTTCTGCCTCAGCCTCCGGAGGTTAGTTGGAGTGGGCGTGGAACACCCCGGCGTTGTGTTTTTTTTTTTTTTTTTTTGTAGAGACGATTTCGCGTTTTGGCAGGATTTTTGGGTTTTCGATCTCCTGACTCGTATTTTTTGGCACCGCCTTGTGCCCCTCCCAAAGTGCTGGGATTACAGGACATGAACGCACCCGCGCCCAGCCTCTGTTATCTTAGAGACTAGATAAAAAAGAAGTCTGGGGATTGCATGTGATTTCTTTCTTTGATCTACGTCCAGTAAAGGCCTGCTGATGTTTTTTATAGACTCAGTAAATGACTGTGCGGTGTGGGAATCACGCCCGGGATGCCCCAAAGTCGCTAACAAGGTGAACCTTTGGGATTTTTTGGATCCGGTTCCATCCCTTGAAAGTTTCTTTGGTGTTGACTGGTGGGATATGTTGGCTCTAGCTTGCTTGTAGATTGTTTGCTTTTCCTCTTCACCTGAAATAGATCAACCTGCATGGATGAGAAGTAGTTTAATGTGGGCAAAGTGCCAGCACAGGAATAGAGGATTTATAAATGGCAGTCTCCCAGGCCTCGTCCCTCTGATACAGTGGTTGGGGCTTCAGAGGATTGTATGGTACCCCAGGGTTGGTGTGGCCACTTCCCACCTTTCCCTAGTAGGCCCCTGGAGATTCACTGAGGAGACTGGTCTTGGCCTACTTTTTTAGAGGGGGGCAAAGTTCCAGTGTTACGTGGCACACCACTATGGGGAAAGGAGGGGCCATGTGAGCTTCCCCAGGGTCAGAGGGACCTGGAAGTGGGAGAAGGTAAGGGTGAAGTTGTTTCCTGAGAGCCTTTGTGGGTTCTACCGGTTTATGGCCAGGGTGGACTGGCAACTGTTGGGGAGAAGGACCGTGGGGTGTGTGGGTGGGGTGAGCTGGGGATTGCAAAGTTCAGAAAGCTCAGAAAGAGCTAGGCACAAGAAGGGAGAAGCTGTGGTGATTAAGAGAGGAGTCCATTAAATCAGACTGGTGGGAGCAACCTGGCTGAGTTACCTGAGTCCCCTGCCACCCCCAGCCAACAGGGGGCCTTTCTCAAATAGGGAAAGGAGAATATTGTATTCATAATGAGTAATCGCTTATGTCTTCAGAACATTTTCAAATCAGAGCATTCTTTTACATCGATTTTCTAATGTCAACCTTACTAAGAGGCAGGGAAAGGGAGGTAATATTCCTACTTGACAAATGAGGAAATGCAGGTTCAAAGGGGCTGAGAAACTTGACCACATGCATATAGCTGCCAAGCTGGAACGCAAACCTGGCCTTCTAGCACCAACGTACCTGCAACTGAAGGATCAGTAGGCATTTTCCAGGCAACTAGTAGATTGGGTACTAGAATAATTTAGAATTTCCTCCATTTAAAGAAAAAAAGGTAAAATAGAAAGACTCTCTGGCCCTCTTTCTTTTTCAGATTCATCGGCTTCTTTTCTGACTTGGGCATTAATATCCATGCAGAGGAGCTTCCTGGGGGCAGTGCCCCTCCGAGGAATAGCAGCATGCAGATGGGGGGCCTCAGGGCAGCCCTGCAGAAGGATTTTCAGAGCTGCTTGTTAACAGGCGACTAAGTGAGGTTGCAAAATCACACTGTCTGCGCATCAGCTGTCACCAATAGGATTAGGGGCCTCTCCATTTAGTTTGTATCTAAGAGATCATACTAACAAACAGCGTGAATGTGAGCCTTGGGAAGGCCCATTTACCTCTCTGGGCATCAGTTTGCTCAGCTGTAAAGGGATGAACTTACCTTAATTTGACTTTCTGTGTGCAGGTTGGTGGAGCAAACGTTTCCGGAATTCCTGGAAACCAGTCTGTCTCTGCCATTACCAAATGGTAGCCCTGGATCTGTCACAGTCTCTCTGGGTCATGGTTTCTTCGTGTGTAAAATGCAGAGTGGTGGCTCTTTAGGGTCCTTTCAGCTCTAACATTCTCTGCAGAAGCCAGTCACCAGGCCTGGGCTAGAAGGAACTGTTGGAAAGTGAGGACTAGGGCCTGCATACATGGGTCTGAATGAGGGGACCCTGTGGGTGAGCTGGGGGTGATAGAAGCCAGTGGAGGGGAAGGGTCAGGGGGAGGGGCTGGAAGTTAGGAGTTGGAATTAGGGAAGAGGGAATCAAGATGCCTGGCTAACCTGTCAGGACGTTGCCCATCTATCTGGGCTATCTCCAAAGAGGTTCCTAGAATCCAAGCCTGAGGTCCTGCCTGGGGAGACCCTCTGAGGAGGCTGTAGTCAGCTACATCCCTCTGCGCAGGCAGATGAGCCTTCTTACCTGGCAGGCTCACCCGGCAAGCTCTCTGCTCAGTGGACCTTCCCCGCCTGAAGCAGGGAAGGAGAGAAATCCCCCAGCTGGGCCTTGCCATAGCTAGCATGGGGTTAAAACCAGGCTCTCTAGGCAAACAGTGTCTTTGCTATCTTGTGTTTGGAACCCAGCATGGGGGAAAGGTGGAGTCCACAGGCAGCCAGTTGTGTCCAGCACAGCCTGCTGTGTTATCTCGGTGCAGGGCAGCTCACAGGGAGGCCAGCCTGCAGATTATGGCCAAACTGTGTTCACCCTGGCCATTGGGCTCCTTCCCATCAGGGCCACTGCTTTTTCTTTAAACAATTGCTGTGGAGCCACCTCCAGTCCAGCTGCTTTGGGAGACTTAGGAATGTATTCTTTCTTTCATGGACACGGGTGAGGAGTGGAGAGGTCTTGTGGTATCCTGGCAGATAATGCAACCTGTTTCAGTCCTTGCCACTCCCTTCTGGCAAGCCCTGTCTCCCCTCTGTGATTCAGTGTCTCCACCTTTAAAATAAGGAGGAGAGTCCCTTTGGCCACCCGTCTCCCCCTGGCTCATGAGGACATATGGGGATACATGAGGTCCTGTCTATCACAGAGCTGTGGGTCTTTAGGGAGGCCCTCAGAAAACACCAGCTGCTCTTGTTGGTTATGGGGATCTAAGTTTCAGGAAGAGCCCGGTGGTGTTGTTTATTACTCATGAAGTCTTGGCCACCATGCTGATCCCAGGCGGGACGTGGTTAGCCAGTCCTAGACTGAGCAGGAAGCCAAATGAACTTCCTTTTTTTTTTTTTTTTTCTTTTTTTAGAACAATCTCAGAAACCTGGTGCTCTCAGCCCTCAGAGTCAGCTGATGCCCCTTGCCCAGTAGCCGGGGTAGAGGTGGGGGTGTCAGTTTCTGCATCTGGGCCCCTGAGTATTCTTGGGAAATGACGCATGCTGTCGCCAGCTGTACAGGCCATTACCCGTTAAAAAAATGTGACTGCGGGGCCATTAGCCCCGAGAGTTCAGCACCCTCTGCAGTGGGAGGGTAAGAGCTACAGAGCTTACAAAAGGTGCCTCCTATCAGCTGGAGACTAGAGCCTTAAACTCAGAGTCCAAAGGCAGATTGCACTTCTGCTGCACACCAGCCACGTAATCCTTAGGAGGAATGAAAGCTCTCTATGCCTTTGTTTCCCCATCTGTAAAACCAGCACTGCAAAAGAATAATACATGCCTTGTAGGGTTGTTGCAAGAACAAAACATCATCTAAAATGTTAATGGATGGTCCTAGTAGAACAGGTGTGTAGAAAATGCTCAGAAAGTGAAATAGAAGGGAGAGAAGCTAGGATGAGAGTTTAAGATATGTGGACAGAGAACATCGCAACAAGCTGTCCTAATCTTGGAATGCATGAGCTGAAAATAGCGTGGGCTGCAGGTCCCCCAAGCACAGACTCAATGGCATGGCTGATGACATCAGTCCAAGGCTGTCCAGCCTGGGCAACAGCATTCTTATTTGGATTAAAGGAATAGAAGTTGCAGAGTAGAAGCAGGTTCCCAGAAGGATCCACCCTCCTTCCACCAAAGCCCAGAAACAAGTGAGCTCCTACATGCCCAGAGCTCAGAGGCCTTTATAGACAGGTGTGAGGAGAGAGCGGGTTCTGTGGTCAGAAGCCAAGGCTGGGCATGGAGAATTCTGTTTTCCTGAAGCTGGCTGTTTCGTCACCTGGGACAAATTTCCTAACCAGTCATCCCCAGGTAAAGGGGAAGGCCGCAGACAATGGGCTTTTGGCCTTCTGCTTCTGAGCCCTCTGATCTTGCTGTGTCATTTGACCTCTCAGCTGTGGTTACGCCTCTGGGAGATGGGGATCATAACCAACTCTCCTGGAGGAGGGTTGTGAGAATGGAATGATGAGATGGCTGAGGTCCCCACGTGCTTCTGCATGGCCAGGTGAATGAAAGGGGGTGCTGTGATGAGCCATCTACACCTCTGTCAAGGGGCAGGGACTGGTCACCACTAGGATCTTCTCCATCCTGAACACTGCCTTGGGGAGCTTAGGTAAAGTGAATCACCCTAGGGGTAGGGAAGTGGAGAAGGCTGACTGGGAGGAAGGCTCCAGGTTAAACTTTTTGGTGCCACCTTAAGAGAAATCTGTTTGGAGGCTTAATTCATCTGTAAATCGGACAAGTCCTACCTGCTTTCCTGAGAGAAGGAGCAAATGAGAATTAATTAGTAAACATGGCTGTCAAACTTGGTCGGTGTTATTATTAACTTAATGTGTTTGTTTAAAAGGGGGAGGCTGGCTTGCTGCAGTCTACAGGCAGGCGTGTGAGCTGCTAGCCTGCCGGCCAGGTCTGATGAGAAATCCTGTAGATTGTTTCCACATGGGAGTTTACAACACAAATAATTAGTTGCAGTGGTGGAAGGCCTTGGAGGCGAGGGATGATGGATTCTGATGATGGATTTTGCAGTCCTTCACATAAAAGGCAGAGGTGTTCTCTAAGGGAGGAGTTGTTGTACTAGGGGAAGGGCGCCCCAGGGGCTTAGGCACCACAGCCTGAAGCCAGCAGGCAGGGTGATCAAGGGGGTCACCCCTGCTGTCTCAGATAGTTGGGGAGGCATGGGGAGCGCTGCACACAGGCCGCACGTGTATGCCTGTATTCCTGGAGTGTGCAGGTGTCTGGGGCTTTCTCACAGGCAGATCTACCGTGCTGCTCCGGAAGATACCAGATGCTCAGCCAACCCAGTGCATGCACCAGCTACACTAATGTGGTGCCCACTCAGCTGGGGTGGGGGAGAGGTGGAGACCGGTGTTGAAAGGATGGTTTATACTGAACAACTTCATTTTTCTAATATGTGCTGGTGCGTAAGGGTTAGCAGATAGAGTCTCTGCTCTAAATGACACTTTAATAGACTCTGTGGCTTCAGCTTTACCCACTTTGGTTTCATGAACTGTCCTAATCTTGGGATGCATGAACTGAAAATAGCGTGAGGTGAAGGTCCCCCAAGGATAGACTCAATGACACGGCTGATGACGCCTGTCCAGGGGTCACCCACTGACCTTTCTTGCTGTATATTGGTTTCTAATGCTTCTCAGTCCTTCCTTCCAAGGCTAAAATCATGCACTCTGGAGCTAGGCTACTTGGATTTAAATATTGGCTCCACCACGTATTAGCTGTGCAACTTTGGTTATTTTTTTGTTTTGTTTTGGGACAGAGTCTCACTCCGTCACACAGGTTAGAGTGCAATGGTACGATCTCGGCTCACTGCAACCTCTGCCTCCTGGGTTCAAGCAATTCTCATGCCTCAGCCTCCAGAGTAGCTGGGACTACAGGCGCATGCTACCACACCTAGCTAACTTTTGCATTTTTTGTGGAGATGAGGTTTTGCCATCTTGCCCAGGCTGGTCTGGAACTCCTGGCCTCAAGTGATCCACCTGCCTTGGCCTCCCAAAGTGCTGATATTACAGGCATAAGCCACAGCACTTGGCCTAGCTGTGCAACTTTGGGCAAGTTACTTAAACTCTCCGTGTCTCAGTTTCCTTATCTGTAGAATGGGAGTGATGATACTTCATAGGTTGGTTGTGGGGATGGAATAAGTTAATATTTGTAAAGCTTTTAGACCACTGCCTAGTGCATAATAAATGCCGTATAAATGCTGGTTAAACAAATGAATGAGTTCTGGTTGCCCTAAGCAGACTGGTTGCCCATGTCTGTATATGATTTCCTCTCCTCTAAGCCATTTTAACACACAGTAAGAACAGTGTGCTTGCTATGCACTTAACATTACATTTTGTAGCTCTCCCCATATCTAGAAGCTGCCCTCCTCTGAGCACATTAGGGTTCTGTGAGCCCATTTTCCTCTCTGGGGCCCCCACATTCTGTCTGCTGCTGTGACCTTTGTTATTTGAGGTCAACATGGCAAAACCCTGTCTCTAATAAAAACACAAAAATTAGCTGGGCGTGGTGGTGGGCGCCTGTAATCCCAGCTACTCGGGAGGCTGTGGCAGGAGAATCCCTTGAATCCGGGAGGCAGACGTTGCAGTGAGCCGAGATCACACTACTGCACTCCAACCTGGGTAACAGAGTGAGACTCTGTCTCAAAAAAAAAAAAAAAAAAAAAGAAAGAAAGAAAGAAAAAATCCCTCTACGTCGGGCAGGGTGAGACCAGCCCCCACCTACACACGAATCCTTGCTGTGCAGCTGCCTCCAAATGTTGGTGATGACCTTGAACTAAGGAGAACACTGTCCTGGTGGCACGTAGGACAGGGGTACAATGGGGTACTACTGTGTTCTTTGGAGTTCCGTTTGATGTCTGGAGTCCTTGGAGTCCCTGTGGCTATCTGCTGCTCTGGTTTTGCATGGGGTTAGGCCAGAGTCTTCTTGTATCAATAAAGGACATTTTATTGACTGTCTGTTCGTTCCTTAACTACTTGATTGTGACCCGACTCATTATTTTCAGTAATAAAGGTAGAACATTGTTGAAAAGAACTGGAAAATAAGAGTTATACAGTTAAGTAATTGGCAACACACTTCTCCCGGAACTTGAGCAGACCTTGTGGTTAAACGTGTGTGCAGGTGTGTTGTGTGTTCATCAAGCATCTTTAACAGGTTCACACCATTGACATCATAATATCACTTCTGGGAAACTGTCCTAAAGAAATGCTATAAAATTTGCAAGATGCTTTATGCACATAGATGTTCTACACACAAGTATTTATAAAAGAAAACCCTGGAAACAACCAAAATGTCCAGCATTTCAGATAAGGTTATGTACAACCACAGTTGCACTAATTCTAGTGGTTTTCAACCTTTTGTAAGTTCATGAGTTGCTTGAGACACTTACTAAGATGAAGATTCCCAGCCTCCACCCCTAGAGATTTTGATTTAATGGATCTGGGGTGAGATCCAAAAATCTGCATTTTTAACATACCTCATATAATTTTGTTGCAGATGTTCTGCAGTTCACATTTGAGAAAACTGATCAACTTGATGGGATATTTTACAGTCATTTAAAATGATGTTTGCAGAGAGATTATAATAACATGGAGGAATTCTTTATAACTAAAAAGGTATGAAAATTGTGTATACAACTGCATCCAATTATGAAATACAACTATATAGAGCAAAACAAAAATATACAAAAATATAAACACAGGTGGTCTCAGCATGGTAGAGTTATGGCGATTTTCTTATTTTTTTCTGCATTTTCTATATTTTCCAAAATTTCTAAAAGCAAGCGTTATTTTTATCATAAAAACTCATATGCCTGTAGTCCTAGCACTTTGGGAGGCTGAGGTGGGTGGATCACTTGACCCCAGGAATTTGAGACCAGCCTGGGCAACATGGTGAAACCCCGTCTCTACAAAAAATGCAAAAATTAGCTGGGCGTGGTGGCTCATGCCCGTAGTCCCAGCTACTAGGGAGACTGAGGCAGAAGGCGGAAGTTGCAGTGAGCTGAGATTATGCCACTGTACTCCAGCCCGGGTGATAGAGTGACACCCTGTCTCAAAAACAAAAACAAACAAACAAAACACCCATAGGCTCATACTTTTAAGACAGACAGTATCCTCCTTGGAACAAATTCAAGGGCTTTCTCTTGTTCACCCTCTTTCCTGGGATTTATATGCTGGAAGGTTCCATTTTCTCTTTGAAGAGGCTGAAGGACCCTGAAGCAGAGTGAGGCTGGTCTCTTCACCTTCAGATGGGCTAAACCCCTTTTGGAAGT